ATGGGAGTTTATGGGGGGGGGACAGGGAGGTGTCTCCGTTCTGGGGGTTCCCCGGGGGATGGGATATAACGGGATCCAGTCAGAAGCACCAGTTCCCCCAAACAGAGCCCCTGAGGGGGTGTTCCAACCCCTTCCTTTTTGGGGGGTCTCCCTGTCCTTCACTCTGCCCCCCAGGGCTGTGCTACCCCTTAGGGATGGGGTGGGGGACTGGGGAAAGACCACCCCTCTACCTCCTGCTCCCCCCACTCCCAGGCCCCACCCCATCCCGGCCTCTCCTTCTCAGGCTCCTCCCCATCCGTAGGCTCCTCCCCACTGCCAGGTCCTGCCCCTCCCCCTTCCTAGGCCCATTCCCTCCCTAGACCCCTCTCAGGCCCCGCCCCTTCTGCACCCCACCCCATTCCTAGGCCCCGCCCCTCTCCATTCCTAGGCCCCCTCTCCTCCCCACTCCCGGGCCCTCCCCTCACCCTATTCCTAGGTCCCGCCCTCGGAGGGCTGCCCTTCCAGGTGCCTGTCCCGCTCTCGCACAGAGATACCCCCCTCCCCTCCCGCCCCTTCCCTCTAGGGCTCTCCTCCTCCCCCTCCCCACAGCCCCCTCCCCGCGCCGGGAGAGGGGAGGAGAGGAGAGGAGAGGCGGGGTCCTGGCCTTTTCCGTCAGGCGCTCAGTGGGGCAGCCCCGGCCCGGGGGCCTCACAGGGAGCTTTAAATAGCGAGGCCCCAGCGGGCACCATGCCACGTGGAGCGGAGCGGGGCTGGCTGGGGCCACGTGCGGGCGGGTGAGCGAGCGGTGCGGGGCGTCCGGGAGGGGGGAGATCGGGGTGTGTGGGGCCTGAGGGGGGGATGGAGGGATAGATTGGGGGGGAGCTGGGGGGATGGCGGGATAGAGGGGGATCGGGGGGTGGCTGGGGGGATAGATGGGAGGGAGCTGGGGGGGGTGGCGGGATGGAGGGATAGTTAATGGGGGAGGGGGAGATCTGGGGAATGGATGGGGGAGGTGGGGGGCAGATTGGGTCAGGGGGCGGTAGGAGATGGGGGGGCGATGAGCGGGGAGGCTTGGCTAAGGGAATGGTGGTATCAGGGAGAGCTTGGGGGGAGGTAAGGGGGAGGGGGCTGGACTCAGAAGCGGGGGCTTGTCCTGGTGTACGGGGGGTGCTGGGTCCCCGATGATGTCAGCACTGGGCTCCGAACTCCTGTGAGGACATCGGTGCCTCCCGGGGACTTGACACCCTGGGGGACTGAGGGGGCTGGGCTTGGGAGGGGGAGCAAAGTTTGGGGGGGGGGGTGACCTGCTAATGCGCCTCTCCTCTCTAGCTGCCCAGCAGTGACCCCGCCATGGACGAGCGGTGGGGTGCCCAGGTGGGGCTGCTGTCCCTGGGGAGACCCCCCCACACACACCCTGTGATCTGACCTGGGTGAGGCTGGAGGAATGGCACTGTGATATGCCCTGCAGAGACCCATGGGCACTGGGGTGCAGTGAGGCTCCTGGCTGGTAGGTATTGGGCTGATGCTGCCCTGTTTCCCCCATAGAATCCAAATACTGGGGAACCCCAGCCTGGGGCAGGGGGGTCCCCAATGATGTCAGCACTGGGCTCCGAACTTTGTGATGAAATCGGTGCCTCCCAGGGCCTTGACACCCTGGGGACTGAGGGGGCTCTGGGGGGACAGTGCACCCCAGCTTGACCCTGTTCTAGGGGCTCTGAGCTGGGGTGCATTGCTGACTGCAGGTCTGCTCCCCCACCAGGTGCTGTGCAGTGACCGTGGAGTGATGCTGGGGTTGTGGGGGTAAAAATTCCCCAAGACTGACCTGTCCCACACTTCTGCAAGGACCTCCCTGCAGCCCCCTAGACTGGTGAGTATCATGGGGGATGGGGGGAGAAGCCGCCTAGGTCCCACCCACCCCCAGATGCTAGGGGGTGTGGGGGAGGGGCATGGGGAGCAGGTGGGGTTGAATGGGGGTCCTGGGGTATGTGATTTAGGGGGTGGGGGAGAATGTGGGGCTGGGGCCTGATGCTGGGAGGGCCTGGAAGGAGGATGAGTGTGTGTGGGGGGCTGGGGATCCCCAATGATGTCAGCACTGGGCTCTGAACTCCTGTGACGAAATCGGTGCCTCCTGGGGACTTGACACCCTGGGGGACTGAGGGGGCTGCAGCTGGGATTGGGGGGGGGCAGTGATGGATTAGGGTGCAGGGGAGGCTAACACAGTCCTTGTTTCTCTTCCAGGTGCCAAGACCCTGTGTGTGCGGAGCCCTGCACTGGCCCAGGAAGTCAGGATTCCTGGGTTCTGTTCCCAGCTCTCCCCCCTTGAGGCCTGCTGATCGGGGGTGTGGGGTTCACCTACTCTCCCCAGCAGCTGCAGCTCCTGTCCTGCCAATAAAGTTGTGTTGGTCTCTCCCCTGGGCTGAGTTGCCTGTGGTCCTGGGGGGGGGGGATGGGAGGAGCATGAGGCTCCATGTTTGGGGGCAGGGAGAAAGGCTAGGACGTTGCTCAGGGGCTGTTTGGTATGGGGGGGGAGCAGGTTCCTTGCTGCTTAGTGCTGCTGTGTGATCCCATGCCTGGGGGTGGGGGGGAACCTCCCAGCCTCCCCCAACTGCAAGGAGTCTACCCCTCACTGGGCTGACTCCCTGCCTAGGAAGAAGAGCAGCAGGGGCCAGTGAGTCTCCCATCCGTGCCTCAGTTTCCTCCCTGCTTTGCATAGCTCTGGGGTGGCAGAGCAGGAGGTGGGAGGGGGTTGTGCCAGAGGGCAGCAATGGGTCAGACAGAGGGGAGCTGGAACTTGACCATGCCCAGGGCCAGCTGGGGGGGAAGAGGGGGTTCCCCTTGTTGGCGAAGGCTGGGGGGTGTCTGTAAATACCCCCTTGGGCTGGATTCTCAGCAGGGAGGCAAGGGCTGCTGGTGGTGAAGGCTGAGGCCACGGGCCTGTCCTGGGGGAGGGGGGCACTAAAGGGAGGGTTCCCAGCTGGGGCATAGGCCAGGGCAGATTGCCGGGGTCTAGCTAAGATTTCTTGCCCCATGCGGAGGTGGGGGCCCCGGGGTCTGAGCAGGTGCAGATGCTGGTTTGTGCCTGGCTGGGCTGACTGCTGCAGGGTCCAGTGACTCTTCTCTCCTCTTCCCCCTGTTGGGTTGGCGGGGATCTCCGGTGCCTCAACCCTTCTGCCTCCTTCTGTTGGCCTAGAGAAGAGGGGGTGGGCACTGCAGGGCCAGCCTGAGGGGAAGGGAGGTGGTGTTGGACCCCACCCTGGGTGAACTAGTTACTCGGGCTCTGCGAGGGAGCTAAACCACCAACCCACCCTTCATGCCCTGGGGGGGAGGGTGTTGCACTCAGGGCGGGGGTGGCAAGTGCTACGTGACAGCTCGCTGCCCCTACTGTGTGCTTGGGGGGGGGGTTGTCTCCCACCCATCCAGCGGGTGACCAAATGGTGGCAGTAGTGGGATACGGCCCCAGCGGGCCTGTGCTGCTTGTCAGCACTCACAAGGGGAGAAGAGACCCTGCCCCGTGTTTGAGTGAGGGGGGGGGTCCAGCTGGGGGCAAAGCCTGGGCTGTGAAGAGCTGCTGGTTGAGGGGGGAAGTTACCCCCACCCCTAGGGTGGGCAGCAGGTGCCCATCCCTGTCAAGCCCAGTGGCTGCAAGATGGACCCCAGTTTGGGCAGGGCCCGGATCATGACTCCTTGGGGGAGGGGATAATCTCACCCTGGACCTGCCCGACTGCTCTGGGGCCAACACAGTCCGCCCCAGCGTCCCTACAGCCCGGGGTGTGGGGGACACGGGGGGCGTATGGCCGCGAGGGGCCGGTGGGGGGGCTGGCTCCCTGGGGGGCTCCCTCTCCCCTGCCCAGCTGTTCCCAGGCTCTGAGCAGGCCCCGGGTGGGGGGGGCACAGAGCCAGGCTTTGCAAGACCCCGGACCGGGTTTGGCCGTTCAGCCTCTCCCCAAAGCCGCCTCTTAGCCCCGGGCGGGGCCGGGCCGAGTTCCCAGCGCCCCCCAGCTGCGCCGCCCCGTTGTTCACTCCTGGGAGCCCCGAGTGGCTCCCTGGACCCCCAGTTCATTTGCGTCGGTTCAGCCAATTCTTTCCTGCCCCATCGCCGCCCACAACCCCCCCGCCCCCGGGGCGGCTCCAGGAGCAGCGGGTGAACGCAAAGTGCAGAGGGAAACTGAGGCACACGCAGGATCCATACCGATATTCCAGAGCATCATCCCCCCTTCCTCACACAGATCAGCAGGGACCGGGACCCAGCCCCCCCCCGCCCGGGCGTGGGGCCTTTCCCGGGGGGGCTGGACTGGGAATGGGGCCGGGGGGGGGCGCGGCTGGGAACCGGGCTCTGCCCCGCATCACACCCCGCTGTGCCCCCCCGCTGGGGTGAATGGGGGGGGCATCCTGCCGGCCGGGGTCCCCCCCCCCAGCTGGGGGGGCGGGGCTGCAAGGCAGGAAGTGACGTGGGGCGGGGGTTCCCGGAAGCGTCTGGGTCCGGCTGC